AATCCTTTACCAGCTGTAGAAACACTTTCAGTATCTAATACACCTATACTTGCAATAGAGGAGAGGGTTGCAGAGGAAACACACAATACATATGATCCTAGTTCAAAAGAGGAAACATAGGAGGGAGAATGGTTAACATCAACAAAAGTCAGACGTAGTCCACCACAAGGACAGTTAGAATATGGTCAAATAACGATCATGTCTCTGTCACGATATGAAGTTCTGAGTCTTGGAGAGGAACCAGAAGAAACAGTAGTTAGAGACTCTGTAGTAAAGGAAACACAGGAGGATACGGAGGCAACTTATGGTATGGATCAGGTTACTCAGGAATCTCAAGGGATAGAGGATAATGTCGACAACCAAATTAAATCCTTGCCCACTAAAAAGGGGGTGGTAGTGCCACAACAATCACTTCCCCGCAACTCAAAGGAGAACCATAGTGTTCTAAAAAAGGACCACCAATCATAAATCCAATTATGTCGGGTTTTTTTCTGGAATATTCGTGGATTTAACCAACCAACAAAACATTATGTAGCCTGTGATTGGATCAAAATGTGTTCTTTTCAATTTGGTTGTTTCATTGAACGAAAGTTAAAGAAAGAAAGGCCGACAAAATAGTGGTTTCATTGTGTAAGAACTAGTCTTACATTTCAAACTACGAGTACAACTAAAGAGGAAGGCTCTAGGTTGTATGGAGTCCAAGAGTGCGACTAACTATTTGTTTTAAGAATGCTCAACTGATAACTTTTTCTATTCTGCTAGATGGAGCAGAGAATGAATTTCTCTGTTTGTTTGTGTACGCCTCCAATTGTGCCAAGGAACGCAAGGAATTTTGGTATGATTTAAGAAGCCATCAGATTCACCCATGTTTAGGAATAAACCCTGGATAGTGTTTAGGGATTTTAATGAGATATTGGAGCTTAAAGAGCATTCCAATGCTGCTACAGGCCCTTCTATCCCTGCAGGTATGAGGGATTTCCAAGATATTTTGCGCTACTGTTTGTTACTGGACATGAAATTTCATGGTAATCTGTAAAAATTTAGACCGAGTGTTGGTAAAAAACACATAGCAAGCTATGTACGCACATTCATACAGTGTCCTTAAACCGGGGGGTTGTTCAAATCATATGAGATGCAGTATCTTAATTAATGCAGAGGCTCCACTGAGGCGACACAGAACATTCAAATTCACAAATGCCCTGGTTAATGCACCAAGTTTCATGCCCCTTGTTGAATCATACTGGAAGGAGAAAAAACCTTATACTCCTTTACCTCTACTCTGCATCGATTTACAAAGAAGTTAAAGCCCCAAATCAGGTGCATGAGTAAGTATTTGCTGGGAGACTTAGCTAAGTGCACCAAACATGCTTTCGAGGTTCTCAGCGAGTGCCAAGGGAAATCCCTAACTCAACCATCGCAGCAGGTTATGGAGGAGGAAACTCGTGCCTACAACAAACGGAGAATTTTAGCTGATTTAGAGAAGCGTTTTCTACGCCAAAAATCAAAACTGCACTGGCTGCAGGTAGGTGATGGGAACAATTGATATTTCCACCAGACTGTAAAAGAAAGAGAAAACATCAACTCGATCAAAGAGGTAATAAGAGTCGATGATACAGTTGCAGATACACAAGAGGGTATTAAACATGAAGCAGAGAACTATTTTTATGCTTTCATTTCTCTACAAATTGGTGATATCAGAATATTCAAGAGGAGGAGTTGAGAAACCTGCTGTAGTTTCAGTGTAATGCTCATGAGAGAGAGTCCCTTATCCGTCTGGTTACAGGAGAAAATAAAGAATATTCTGTTTGCTATGCTAAATAATAAATCTCCAGGACCTGATGGTTTCACTGCAGAATTCTTCAAAGAAACTTGGCCGGTAGTGGGGAACAAGTTCACTCTAGCTATCCCATCATTCTTCAGTAAGGGATTTCTTCCTAGAGGAGTCAACTCCACGATACTCGCTCTTATTCCCAAAACCACAGAGGCAAAACTATGAAGGACTACAAGCCGATTTCATGCTGTAATGTCCTGTAAAAAGTTATCTCCAAGATTATAGCAAACAAGTTAAAAAGAATTCTGCCTCAGTCCATTGCCCTAAACCAATCTGCTTTCTTAAAAGACAGATTACTCATGGAGAATGTTCTACTCGCTTTAGATCTGGTGAAGAATTATCATAAAGAGTCTGTATCCCCTCGATGCGTAGTAAAAATAGACATATCTAAAGCATTTGACACTATGCAATGGCTTTTTCTGCTCACTACTCTCTCTGCTTTGAATTTTTCTATGATATGCATCCACTGGATTCGTTTATGCATCACTACATCGTCATTTTGAGTGCAAATAAATGGAGAATTGACGGGGTGTTTTAATAGTGCAAGGGGTCTATGACAAGGATGTTCACTTTCACCCTATCTGTTTGTCATCTGCATGAATATGGTTTCCAAGATGTTGAATAGAACGGCTCTGGACAGGAAAATAGGATATCACCCCTATTGTCAAAATCTTCAGCTAACACATCTATGATTTGTAGATGACTTGTTAGTTTTTTCAGATGGAAAGAAGCGATCGATCGAGGGTGTTTTTGAGGTGTTTAAGACTTCTGCAGACCTCTCTGGTCTAAAAATTCGTCTTGAGAAATTAACACTCTATCTGGCTGAAGTCTTATCAAATAATTGTGATGCAATCTTGGATTATTTCCCCTTTGGAACAGGAGCATTACCGGTTAGATATCTTGGTCTTCTTCTATTAACAAAGCAGATGAGAGTGCAGGATTATATGCCACTCCTGGAAAAAATACGAGGAAGAATAACTAGTTGGACAGCTCGATCTCCGTCTTTTGCTGGGCGGCTCTAGTTGATTGCATCAGTTATTCACAGTCTTACAAACTTTTGGATGTCAGCATTCCGTCAACCAAAAACCTGCATTCAACAAAATAGACAAACTCTGTTCGGCTTTTCTCTAGTCTGGCCCTGATTTAAACCCAGGAAAGCAAAACTTATATATCACGAAGTCTGTTTGCCTAAAGAAGAGGGAGGGCCGGGGTCCCGTTCATTGCAGGATGTGAATAATGCGAGTTGCCTAAAGCTCATCTGGAGAATATTGTCGGCTCACTCGTCTCTATGGTTTAACTGGATTAGGATGTACTTAATTCGGAAGAGTTCTTTCTGGTCGGTTAAAGAAACCTCATGTCTAGGATCCTGGATATGAAAAAAGCTCATGAAGTACAAAGAGGTTGCTAAAAGTCTGACCATGGTCGAGGTAAATAATATGGCAAGGACTTCATTCTGCTTTGATAGATGGTCTCCAATGGGAAGATTAATTGAGCTTACCGGCAACAGAGGCTGTGTCGATTTGGGGGTGTGGTTCAATTCAACAGTCGATACTGTTCTTGATACACATAGATGAAGAGAGCACCGGGTGGAACTTCTTAACCAAATAGAGGAAGTGATTGAATCTCTGCAGAGGAGGAAGGACCCGCATAGAGAGAACAAGGTGTTGTGGAAAACAGCAGCATATACGTTCAAACCGAGATTTGCTCAAAGGACACCTGGCAGCTAAATCGAGAGGCAAAACCAAACTGCAATTGGTACAAGGGTATCTGGTTTAAACGCTCTACCCCGAAGTACTCTTTTGTCGCTTGACTAGCTACTCGCAACAGGTTATCTACGGGAGATATAATGCAGTCTTGTAATGTAGGAGCAGAGGTTTCATGTATATTCTGTCATCATTCGATGGAAACAAAAAAACTACTTATTTTTTTAAAGCAGCTACTCGGCGGAAATTTGGCCATACCTAACTCATAAGCTGCTCTTAACGGACTATACAGAAAATTGGAATACACTAATGGTGATCTTCATAGACGAGTCACAAGACCACATATCCAAATTCATGCTGAGATATATGTTTTAATCGGCAATTCATTTAAGGGATAATTTTTAAAATAACCCACTTGACTATTTTATTATGAAACATGACCCTTCCATTAGAAGAGTCCACTAGTTTGTTTTCATTCTGCTATTAGTCTGTCAGTAATTTGTAATTAGTCTACCATTAATCTGCTAGTAGTATACATTCAATTATTTGACCAATCAGTCTGCCAGTAGTCTGCATTCAGTCTGCCGTTAGTCTGTCATTAGCCTTCCATTAGTCTACATTCAATTATTTGACCAATCAGTCTGCCAGTAGTCTGCATTCAGTCTGTTGTTAGTCTGTCATCAGTCTACAAATAACAGTAGTTAGAAGAGTAGCGCTGATATTTATAAAAATCGTAAAAAGGGATCATTTTCACAATTTTTCTTCAATAGGTATCTATTTCATATTATTTTATCATTCTGGATCATTTTAGAGCATTTCCTCTTCAAATTTAATATGATCGAAAGGAATGAAAGGAAGCATGGTGACACTTCTACACCCCCAGCTCAGTTGATTCATCGGATTGACAAGCAGATAAAAAACAGATTCACCTCTATTCGAATAGAAGGGGACACACAATATAAGGAAGAAATGAAACGATGATTCTTATTCAAAGGCTAGGAACCATGCCAGTATCTATTTTTTTTTTTCACATCTCAGAATTAAAAAACACTTTTGTAACATTGATTTTTTGGTCGGATTAATTTAACATTATCATTCAAAATTTTTTTTATAGCCCACACGGGTGTGGTCGAGTGGTAGGAGAGATTTGGGAGAGAAGTGTTAAGTGCAGCCCACCCGGGTTCGAAGTCCACTTGAAACTACATCACATCCGTGTGGTAAAACAGGGGTTGTCACATGGCTCCCTTTGGTTAATAGATTAGTCGGATTTCATGGCCCGTTAACCTGAGATACCAGCTAGAGAGAAAAGTTCCCGTAACCTGGCTCGAACTCATGGTGTGGATTACTCGAGTTATAAAATGTCTACTAGTAATCGGCAAATATTTTCCATCTAAGTAACACTGGTTCGGTACGGTTCGCTACTCGAGACAATTATTTTACCGGCTAAACTTGGTTTCTATTAAAAAATAGTATATATTTACATTCAATTAAACTAGAGTTCTACCATTGTCGGTGGCTGTTGGCTCCAAATCGATCTTCATCGACTTAGCCAGCAAACACAGTGCCACTCACACTTCAAGACCCTCCGCCATAACCAAGCGGTTCGATTCCTCATTTCTTCTCCTCAAATCTCTCTTATTCTCACTCTCCATTTCCCGGATCTGTACCTTCTGGAATCGGAAGAAGCAATGTTCGGCCGATACCCGATTCCCAGAGCCGGAGGTTTCCGTCCTGAGAACTTAGGTCAAAATGCACTTAACCTAATCGGAAACATAGGGTTCTCACTCTTCGTCTTCGGAGTTCTAGTCTTCACCATCATCGCCGCTACATACGAGCCAGAAGACCCTCTCTTCCACCCATCCGACAAAATCACGACTTTCCTCACATCGACATCGAACGCGACGATGAGATCCGACGACTCCGTCGTGAAAACCGGAGAGGATTTCATGGCGGTTAACCAAACCGCGTTCGCCGCGTTTATCAACATCACCGACGTCGAAACCACGACCAACGAGGAGAACGCCGAGGGGAACCAGCTCGATTGCGATTCGAGCATCCCCATTGATTGCAAAGACTCTGAGGTTTTCCATCTCATGATGAAAGCTACGATTGAGAAGTTCAAAGACATTCATTTCTACAAATTCGGGAAGCCTGCGGTTGGAGAAGGCGCGAGTTCTTGCGATATGGCGTGGCGTTACAGGCCTAAAGATGGGAAGAGCGCTGCGTTTTACAAGGATTATAGGAGATTTGCGATTGAGAAGTCTGAGAATTGTAGTCTAAGTGTGGTTGAGATCGGAGAGTATCATTCCGGTTTGAATGCGAGGAAGAGGAAGAGGAATCAGAAAGCTGGGTTTGAGAAAACCGATGGGAAGAGAGACGATTTCTCTTTGCCTGTGGTTGGTGAAGCAGTGAATGATTCTCTTCCTATGGTTGAGTCAGAGAAGGCGTTTAAGAGCGGTAAGTACTTGGTTTATGTAGGTGGAGGAGATAGGTGTAAGAGCATGAACCATTTCCTCTGGAGTTTCTTGTGTGCGCTTGGTGAAGCTCAGTATCTAAACCGGACTTTGGTGATGGATCTGACTCTGTGTCTATCTTCTATCTACACCTCCTCTGGACAGAACGAGGAAGGGAAAGACTTTAGGTTTTACTTTGATTTCGAGCATTTGAAAGAAGCTGCTTCTGTGTTGGATGAAGTTCAGTTTTGGGCTGAGTGGGGGAAACTGCATAACAAGAAGAAGAATAGGTTGAGTCTTCACCTCGTGGAGGACTTTAGAGTCACGCCTATGAAGCTTGCTGTTGTGAAAGATACCTTGATAATGAGGAAGTTTGGTTCAGTAGAGCCAGATAATTACTGGTACAGAGTCTGCGAAGGAGAGACAGAGTCTGTTGTGCAGAGGCCGTGGCATCTGCTATGGAAATCAAGAAGGTTGATGGAGATCGTCACTGCGATTGCGTCGAGGTTGAATTGGGATTACGATGCAGTACATATTGAGAGAGGAGAGAAGGCAAGAAACACAGAGCTTTGGCCTAATCTTGAAAAGGATACTTCTCCTAGCTCTCTCTTGTCGACCTTACGGGACAAAGTAGAAGAAGGAAGGAATCTCTACATCGCAACGAACGAAGCAGAGACATCTTTCTTTAACCCTTTGAAAGACAAGTACGCTACTCATTTTCTTGACGAGTATAAAGATCTGTGGGACGAGAGTAGCGAGTGGTATTCGGAGACTACAAAGCTTAATGGAGGCAACCCCGTCGAGTTTGATGGTTACATGAGAGCATCTGTTGACACAGAAGTGTTCTTGAGAGGGAAGAAGCAGATTGAAACATTCAATGATCTCACAAACGACTGCAAAGATGGAGTTGGGACCTGTAACGTTGCAGCTACATGATCTCTCTTTAGATTCTCCTCTTTTCTTGTTGATTTTGTTAACCATCTTGTTCCACTTGTTTCTAGTTTTGTCCTTGTTCCACTTCTTTCTAGTTTTGTCCTTGTAGAAATAGCTTTGTATTTTCCCTTAGCTGTTGTTTCATCTTGTGACTTTTAGAACAACCCTTTTGTCCCTACTAGTTTGTCTGAGCGAAGAAGATATTGATGCACAAAATCGATTCGGTACAATGAACAGTATCATTTAAGACAACTATCAAAAGTGAATGCAAACTTTTTGAAAAAATGTTTCATCTTCTTTGTTTACCGCTGGTCTTATCCTTCTTAATCGGAATAAGAGTGAGCTTCTTCTTCCCTGAGGAGTCTGCTATGGCGTCAGCTTTCTTGAGCAGTGAAATAGTAACTTGATGCTGTCTTTCGTTTACAGTTTTCTCATCCATGAACGGTTTAACCTCAAAGGTTCCTCTAGTGAAATGTCTAGCAACCTACAAAAGATCATTTTTGTGACAAACCATATCAATGCAAACTTGTGGCTAAAGAGAATCACATTATTGGAGTAAGAGTGTGTTAATGAAGGTACCTTTAAGAGAATCCATACTTTCAGGGAGCTACTTAGGATCGCAAGCCGAGTCCTCTTCCCTGTAGTCAAGAAGCTAGACATATGACTATCCACTCGCAATATGAATCTTGGCCAAGACTTTGGGTTTTCAAGGTCATCTCTTTTATCCATCTTTGCCTGAAACACATTTAGCTCGTCATGACATAGAACAAGACATCATACCAAGGATGGTATAAAACATTAATTCGAGTGAACTCACGAGCTGCCGACAAATCTCTTGTTCGATTTTCGAAAAGGAAGTCTCGAGTGCCTCAACTCTACCAGTTGCGTGACAGCAAGAACACGGTTCACTGATCATGAATGTTACACTCGGTCGAACCTGTGAAACAATAGATTCATTCACTGCAATAAGTATATATTTGTAACAGTATACACTGGATTTGATTAGAAGCTTTACAGAAAGAGTAAAACATCCACAAGTTGGGGACTATATATATACCCTTTTTCTTGTTATTTCCATGAGTCCATGTCTAGACAGCTCTGATACTTTTACCAGTGACCTATCTTTCTCCACTGCTTTCTTAACCTCTTCATAAACGAGTCTCTTATTTGCTGATCCACAAAAAAAGCACAAGAATATACAAGACATAAGCTACTTTCCCATCTATAGTTTTTGATAATGCGTAATGCAGAAATAACAATGACATTCTAACTCACATTCATCTTCCATGTCGATGAAATCTACCACAATGATACCCCCTATATCTCGCAGCCGAATCTCCCTTGCAATCTGAATCATAATTGCATCGAGTATTACATAATAAATTGCTTTGCAAGATTAACATATTGCGAAAAATGAGTAGACTTCAAGGAGAACTACACAAGACAAGCAGTTAATTGATTCACTCGCAATTATTCCCAAGGCATTCACTAATCATCGGATAATTCACCACATGTCGCTGTATAGAATAGTTTACTAACGCATTTTTCAGAAGCAGAATCTCTGCTGCAAAAGGTTTGCGAACGAATACGTAATCTAGCAGCAAAAATGTATCACATACTTGTCTGGCAGCAGAAAGGTTAACTTCCAAAATAGCTTTCTCCTGTGAATTACCCTGACCAAACATTCCATGTCCTCCGTTCACATCAATAGAGACCAATGCCTCAGTTTGTTCAATCACTAAAGAACCTCCATTGGGAAGTGGAACTCTGCAAGAGACAAAAAGATCATTTACATGAAGATATCTGGGAAGGAAAAAGTGGGTCCATAACTCCACAACAGTTCAGTGTAAAGCCACTTCTTACCTTTTGCTAAGAATACCTTCTATCTCCTCCTCAATGCTGTATAAATCAAAAAGAGGGATACCCCTATCATGCAATTCCACTCGATCACAAAGATCAGGTGCCATATCTTGCAGGTAGTTTGTGACCTGGAAACTAATACCAGTTAGATGAAATAGTTTGAATACAGTATCTACTCTTATGTGTAAGCCGTTTAATTATCTGCAAATGCAAGAGTTGGTACAGAAGGAAGAGAAATGACACATGTAACTGTGGCTTTTACTTAATGCATTTGAAAATAACATTAATCAATAAATGTATGAGAGTTATAATAAAATCCTTCAGCATGCTATTCAGAATGGAGGCAATGTACCTCATGGTATGTCCTCGGAGAGTCAACCACCATCTTCTCAACCTAGACAAAATCAAGATCTTACTGTCACTTGACATGTCAACCTAAAGGGGCCATCTATTTAGAAAAACATGGACAGTGAACTAAGTACCTTGTCATTGAAATAGTCCTGCACAACTGAGAGTGTTTGACCCATTGCTCTATGTAGCAACGCTGGAATAGCTCCTTCCACACCTTCATCTGCAGCAAGGGATGCAGATTTTGCTTCTTCTGTAATGTTCTTCCAGGTTAAAAGCAGACCTTCTAAGTCTTTCTGCAGATCTTCTAGAGAATGGCCAGCAGCTACAGTCCTCACCGTCAGGCCAAAACCCTGAGGCTGCAATGTTTTTGCTATAACCTTTAACCGGGTTCTCTCAACTCCCGAAATCTTTTTTGAGACTCCAATTCGTTTGCAACGAGTCATTAACACCTATAAGGAAACACAATTATTCAGGAAATAGAATAGTAAGAAACGAAAGGAAAAGAGTTACGGGACAAAGCACTTGACAGACATACCCAGAATCTGCTTCTCAGTTTCGGGTAAGCAGTAAGAGTTGGACCTTTCGTACCAAGACCCTCTTTAACAACTTGCACAATTATCTTGGTGCCTTTTCGAACTTGAATCCACTTGTTATCCCTAGACGACACACCTTTAGAATTTTTTGCAGAGTGTTCTCTCTCCTGAGGAACTAAGCCATTCTCAGATCCAACTTCAAGATGCAGCTCATCTTCATGATTGCATTTGTCAGAACCACCTTCCACGTCGCCATGGTTCACTACAGCTCTATTAACTAGTCCATCTACAGAATCTGAGACATGATAATCATCATTTTCATGATCATCGTCATCATCATGAAAAGATTCCCCAGGGTCATTTGCATCAATGTCTAATAAACTACTGGCTTCAAAGTCATAGGAGGCATGCTCGATTTCATGCGAAGCTGGATTGTCGTTTACAGAGAGGAACCGAGAACCATCAGCTGCTTGCTTCTTTGATCCATCACAGAATGGAGGGAATATGAATGGCTCCCTGTTTGGCTTAATGTCCATGAAAGAATGTCTCGAGCTTCCGATATTCACAAATGCACCACCCATATGAGGCACAAACTTAGTGACTACGCCCAGATAAACACTATCACACTGCACGTTGGTCTTAACTGGTTCCAACAGTAACTCAACCAGCTTCTCACCTTCCAGTACAGCAATCCTTTGCACGGTACATATAGAAGAGTTGATCAGTATCGTAGTAGAAATCCGTACTGGTTGGAAAAATTCATCATCAGGTAAGAGAGTCTTAGTCAGCTGGTGATTTTGTTCATCAGCATCTAAGTTGTTTTCAGTTTCGTCAACGCTTTCAACAACTTGTTCGCTATCAGTCTGCATATTCCTTGCATGTTGCAAGGTAATACATTCCTGAAGAAACCACGGTTCCTCAATAGGCTGATAATTGTCAGAAAACAACGCACTTAAGTCTGAGCTCTCTGAAGAAAAAGTTGCAAGCTCATCACAGTGGAGAGATTCATCTTCTAATTGTTTATCATTCAAAATCGGTCTTGGGACTTCCGTAGCATTATCGGCGAAAGTGCATTCATCTGCCAAACCACTGGAAGCATATGAGTTTTATAGTATTTCGCAAAACGATGAAAAGAGACTCAAAAGGAGGAGGAACCACGGAGATACCTTCGCTTCGAGCTGATGTAACAGGATTTGGTAAAAGGTAAGCATCATCGATCCAAGAACCCCATACGTATGATTCTTGTGATTCAGAGGAAACACTCATCCATGAATCCCTTATAATCACTTTTCTGTCTCGTTTGACAGAAGAAGGTACTGATATCGAAAACTGAGGCCCTGGTCTCCAGATAACATCATATGAAGATCCATACTCAGCTTTAAAAAAATAATTATACCTGAAATTTACACCAGAAGCAGTCTGCCAAGCATATTAAGTTATAAGCAAGCAACAAAAATGAACTCGCTTTCAAGAAAATAGCTTGGGTCCTTCTGATGCTACGAGTGAGAACACTCAAATGTCTTTTTAGGTAAATCAAGATACAATTCTACTTATGTTTGCTATGGCTTAAACCGAAAAACAAATGAATGGATTACCTTGACTTTAGCTTCCCATTCATTATCATTTCCAGTAGGATACATCAAAACTGCGCAGTCTGGCTCCCAGCTACCTAAAGCAGAAGGTTCTCCAGTAACGTAAAGATGTTCATTAGGTGCGAGATCAGCTTCCACGATCCAAACAACCTCGCATAATCCTTTTCGAAGACTAGCTGGTTGTTCTGAGATTGCAGAAAACAAAAATCTCAGCAGTCGAAAATGGCAACATAGAAAGTTAAACCATGATATTTTTCATAAAAAAAAAGAGTTTTTGTTCTCCCAATCACCTTGTGCGCTTAGAATAGCAGACCTTGAACGAGAACGAGAGACCCCAAAGCACAAGGTGAGCCTAAACCTCTTTCCACGCTCGATATGAGAGAACATATATCTGTTGAACGAGAGAGATTCCAAGTTAGCACAAATTAGCATTTTCTATTTCCCTCTAATCTTGCTGTGTCTATAAGATCCACCATTAATTGAGTTCAGGGAGGAGCTTTGTGAGATATGTTGTACTCAAGAAAAGAAGACAATCAAATGTTCAATCCTCTTACTGTGGAATAATTCCAAATATACAGTCACCAGAAGAATGTCAAAAACATGAAATTCTTCAGACAGAACAAGCATAGCTATCTGGAAAACTTTAGCCTAGCACTAGATCAATCATTTAGATTTACAACTCTAAGAACCATTTTCAGTTGCAATGGCATAAAGAAGAAGAGCAAAGGGACAATATGACAACTTTATGAAAACTAAAATTGGCTGAAAACTCTCAGTTCAAGCTCTAACAACTCAAGACCAGAGCTGTTTAAGACCAATACGCTTACATCTAAGAAACCCATCTCCTTAGATTTTTAAAGCGAAATCTTCAATCTCAATCAAAGCAAAATGTAATGAGACCACAGATAAAGTGTATGCTAAAATGCCTCAATGAGAAAGAACTTACGAAGAAACAGGAATCCCAGAAGTAACCAGCCACGAGGCGCGTGAAGAAACGGAAAACTGAGGAAGACGACGCCATGGAACTTCGGCGACGTCCATGGTGTTGAGTTGATAAAGCTCGCCGGTGCTCGGAGCGGGAGAACGAACAAGGGGGAAGAAACGAAGGGAATCAATTAAGCCAGTTTAAATTTGTTTGAGGTTGTGAAGAGGGAGCCGAAGAGAAGAGATGTGCAAGGAGCCGAAGCTTTGCAGAGCTTAGAAATTGGATTCCGGGAGGTGAAGGAGATGACGATAACGGGAGGATATGGTCCCTCTTCCCCTTGGCGCCTTGCAGTGGCACATGCGAACGATACTGTTTCACACGTGTGCAGTTCTATAATAAGATTTAGAGTCTACTTCGGCCCAATTATAAGCCCAGCGGATGAGTTTATGCCTATGACTATTTTGATACGGGTGTCTCGAAAGTTTTATATCTTTCATAATAATTGAAAACTAGCTTTTTAACTCGCATTATGCGCAAAATCTATATTGATAATTTGATTTATTTTTTTTGGCTAATATCTTTTTAATTATCAAAACTATACTATATTTATAGAAAAAAATTTATATAAAAAAAAATAAAACATAATATGTAGTTTTAAGTATTCTTTATTATAAAAATTATAAATCTTATTAAGTTAAATCATAGTAATAACATTTAATGAATTATCCAATTCGACGTGCATACATTTGATTTAGAGAATAATTATCTTACTAATTTTTTGGTGTTTTGTTTTCTGTCCTTAAGATTTTTATAGTTCTTCTTTTTTAAGGTTTATATTTTCAATTATTTGTAGTTTTTTATTAAATGTCTCACTGACATTGCATACCTATGAATATATAATATATGATTCATTTTGATTCGGATTTACTTTTGTTAAGATGCTACAATAACATGTAAAGCTGCTTCTTGCTTCTCTACTAGATCTTCTATGAATTTTAGATTATATATCTATTTAGTTTATATGATTTATTTTTTTGCAGTCAACTATTTGATAGTTTTTGTTTTAAAACATGTAAGATTGTGTGGAGTCTTGATGCAGCGTGATATTTGGAATATTTCTAAATATCTTAAATATTTTATTATTTAATTATTTGTGTATTTAGATAATTATTATTTATTATTTAGAGCTTTCTAGAATATTCTGGTGTTTTTATGATTTATTATAAATAAGCCGTTTAGGCATTCATTGTAATTCAAACTTTGATGAATTAATAAAAAGGGATTCCCTAAAAGAGGTTTTGATAAACCACTGTGAAGAGTATTCACAAACCCTAGTTTCCGGGTATTCTCAGAATCAACGGATCTAGTTCTATCCGTAGTAGCTTCCACTCCATTAGTTAGTATCAGAGCTGCGTCTCTTTGATTTCTTAATCGAAGAACGATTCTGGATCATGATGAGTAGTTGCATCTTCACTTTCGAGGGTGAAAGTCCTTTTGTCGAGAGAGAAGAGAGCCAAGAGATTTATAGAGAAATCTATGGTGATCCGATCTACGACGTCTATGAAGATGATGTTCGTGTTATGGACTTTATTTTCAAAGAAGGTACATTTGAGAATCTGATGCGTGTAAAATCCGTGCATAGTCAGATTGGAATAAGTTTGATGTGTGCAAAATCCGTGCATAGTCAGATTGGAATAAGTTTGGTGCATGATCCGGTTGGTGCGAAACTCGTGTATGATCGGATTCTGGCGAAAAACGTGCAGATTCAGATCCGTGCAAAGTCCGAGCAGAATCGAAGATTTCCAAGGTCGCAAGAGAAGCAGATCTGTGATGAATTCGGTTCGTGCAAAATCGGTGCAGATTCGGTTTGTGCAAATTTCGTACAAAGTTTGGTTCGTTCAAAAACCGTGTATTATCAAAATATTAAACCGATATAGAAAAACCGATTGAAGATTCGAGGGCGAATCTTTCTTGGCCGGCGAGACCTGATGCAGCGTGATATTTGGAATATTTCCAAATATCTTAAATATTTTTATTATTTAATTATTTTTGTATTTAGATAATTGTTATTTATTATTTAGAGCTTTCTAGAATATTCTGGGGTTTTTATGATTTACTATAAATAAGCCGTTTAGGCATTCATTGTAATTCAGACTTTGATGAATTAATAAAAAAGGATTCCCTAAAAGAGGTTTTGATAAACCACTGTGAAGAGTATTCACAAACCCTAGTTTCTGGGTATTCTCAGAATCAACAGATCTAGTTCTATCTGTAGTAGCTTCCACTCCATCAAGTCTTCACATTATTACTGTTTTTATCTTTTGTGTGGTTTATTCATATTTTTATTTGAATAGTTTATCTAGATATATTCCAATTTGAATTTGATTCATAACTTTGTCATACTTTATTATTTAAACGAAATTTTAGAAGATGTTACTCATATGTTGTTCATGTTGGCTAAGTTATAAGTAGTAACTATGTATAAGTTAGTTGTTATATTTCGAATGTAAAATTACTTATGTAGTATTTTTTGTTAGTTTTTATACAAGCCGCAGCAAAAATATTCGTCATTGTAAATTTAAATAATATATTTTATTTAGAAACTTGTATAACCTGCTGTAACTTTATATTGGTATTCATAGTCAATACCAATATTTTAAAAAATCATGAATTTTCTAGAACTAAATTTCAAACTAATTTTCTTCTTAGATTTTGTTATTTGTTATTTTACATATCTTTCGAAGGTAATTTTTTATTTTATTTTAATTTAGATTTTGAGAATGTTTGTTATATTTAAACAATATATATATATATTTAATTAATTTCTTTTGTTATTGATTTTTCAAAGAGGTAGCATATATCAATTTAATCTCTTTTACATAAATATTTGTTCTTTGTTAAATTTATTTTTTACACAAATTTTTATTTTAATTATAATGCTATTTTGACAAGCTATAACTGGGTATTCTAAATTTTATGTTGACTTCTCTCAAATGATTATACCATCATTTGCTTTTTTTAGTTAATTTGTTTATGTTGATTTTCCAAAATATTAGCCTAAATATCAAGCTAGGTTTTCTCTTGATATTGATTTTTATTTTATTTTAACATATAATTGTTTTAAAAATATTGATATTTTTGAAGATATTTTTTTGGTTAGTTAAATGTTTTAATATTAATTTCTTAATTAGTTAGTCATATATCAAGTCAGTTTCTTTTTAGGTGATTTTCTAAAATTTAACATTTTCTAGAACTTAATTGTTTTTCTTTGTTAATTGATTTCTTAATATTGATATTTTAAATAATTACCTTAAATATTTATTTTCTTTTTGTTAGTAAAGTTATTTAGTATTACTTAAGTTTTTTTATTTTCTTACTTATATTGTTTATATTAATTTTGTTAAATAAAATATAGCATAGATATCAAGTTAATATTCTTCTTTTTTGTTAATTTAACTATTTCGATATGAATTTTCATTTTAATTGTATTGAAATATTGAAAAAAATAATTTACTTTTTGTTTCTTGTTAGGTAAATGTTTTTGGTTAGTTTAGATTTTTGTATTGATTTTCTAAATAATTAGGCTAAATATCAAGTTTTAGATAGTTTTTTATAGTACTGATAATTTTAATTTGTATGTTTATGTAAATATTTTAATCTTAATATTTTTTAAAATTAATTACTCATATAAAATATATATGTTAATTTGTTTCTTTTTTTAACTAAACTTGATTGTTATTGATTTACATATTTTGTTTTGTTAGTTTAGCTTTTGTGACAATAAGTTTCTATTTTATTTTGACAAACATATATTTGGATTTTTTACATAATTTTATTTTATCTGTTTTGTTAGTTAAACTTTTTAATCTTAATTTTTTATTCTACTATGATAATTTTATATTTTTGTATTTTTTAATTTATTTAAATTATTAATCATACTTAACATTTTTATGTTTAATAAAAAATGTTGATATGGATCAATCAGCTTGAGTTTCTACGTCATATGTGGACGCTCTCATTAGCTTAAGACATCAACACGGACTACAACTAATATGTTTTATGTTAGCAATTCAGATTTTATATGTTTGTCATGATTTAAATTTTGAAATAGTTTTATTTTTTTTCCAGCATTTTTTTTCCAGCAGAAATAGTTTAATTATGTTCTTAAATACAGTTTTTAATTATTTTGCTCAATACATATGATTATCTTTAATAATCAATTTATAAGTTAATTTTTTTGTTTGTTAAAGGTATTTATATGTTAATTTACTTTTTATAGTTAATAGAAAAATAAGATCTACTTTATAAACTCTTTCTTATTAATAGCTAATTTAAAATTTTGAAACTCTCCAATAACAACAAAATGAAATTAATTAAAATTTAAAAATTTTCCTTATAACAATGAAAATGAATTAATTAATTTTAATATACAATATATAAATAACTATAAATAATGATTATGTGTACAAATAAAATCGAATCTTTTAAATCCTATGTGGACATCTTCATAGACATTTAACATCAACTTTTATTAGTAATTGACTAAGGCTGTAAATGGTATAGAATTGTGGAGTGTACAGAATTTTTGGAATAGAATTGGCTGAAAAAAATAATGTTCACTTGTGGAATTGATCGACGGAATTGTGGAATATGTTCTTATTTTTTTAATATATTTTTATGAGATCATCTTTTATAGCTGTCAGAAAAAAAAATTCTTAACTTTTATTTCAGAAAATTTTTAAGATAAAAAGTCTGATGTATCAAAATCAAAAAAAAAGTTAGTATATTCTAATGTTGATCTTGAAGCATAACATGTCAAATTTTCAAAATAAACAAAATATTTTAATTGTTTGAGTTAAAATTAAATAAATTATAAAATTAAAACATAAATACAAACATAAATACATAAAAACATTTTTAAATTAAACACTAATATTAGTAAATTTAAATGAACCGAAAATGACAGTTACTATGATTTCATTTTTTCTTTTACATATATTCATAAAAGATTGTATAAAATATGATTATGAAAATTTTACAATCAATATATACATATATATATATATAAAAGAAATAAAAATAATAATAGATTATCCAATAGGATAGTAAATATTATATATATTAATAATGTTGGAGTATGATATATTATTATTTGTATATAATTTTTTAACAATTTTTTATATTGTTATTTTCTGAAATTTACATAGCTTTCATTACCATCTCATTTGATCATCTATTCTTTTTAAATAAATAAAAAATTAATATCATACTCATATACAGTCTTATTGTAGATGAGAATTTGAGATCAGAAATAAAACAAAAATAACCAGATAAAAAATAAATTATAATAAGATGAAACAA